AAGAGCTGCTGCATTCCGGAGGAACGGCTTTCGCTCCCTCCCGCCACCGGGAGACGAGGGATGGGGAGGGGAACTGGCCCTGAGCTGCCCGAGGAGCTCAACACAGCCGCACCGAGCCAGGGGAGCCGGGAGGAGAGCGGGGAGAGCCGAAGGGAGGGTGGGGAAGGGGGGGGGGGCGTGTGGCGGAGGAAAGTTCACCCCTGGGGGAGTAGGGGGGTTAAGCCAGCAGATCAAGCCAGCAGATCTCATAGTGCCTTTGTCAAGTGCCCTTTCAAGCACTGGAAGTGCTGAAAGTGGGGAAAGGGCTTGGGGGGAGGGAGGGGGGGGTAAGGGAGGGGGGAGGTTGAAGAGACGAGTTATGTGAGTGTGAGTGTGAAAGCGTGAGCGCGCTCCCGGCGGCGGGGCCGCTGTCCGCGGTGCTGAATGCCCTCCGCCCCCAGCAAGTTCCCTGGCGGGGTGGGAACCCGCGGCGCCAGGGGTCACTCGGCACAACGAGGGGACCGGAAAGTTGGGGGAGGCGGGGGGGGAGTGGTGGGGGGAGGCAGGAAGACAGGTTGCCGGTTTGTTTTGTTCCCTTCCTCCGGATTTTTCTTCCCCCAGTAGCTGAAACAGGTTAATCTGTTTTTATTCCTATTTTTGAAACGGGGGGGAGCGGGGGGGGGAAGGGGGGGAGTGAAAGTGCCTAAGTGAACTCGAATCAAAAGCTAACACGTCAGATCAGACCAAGGAAAGAGAAAGGCAAGTGGGGAGGAAAAAATAAAGAAGAAGAAAAGAAATAAAATAAAGTGATCAATAACAATCAGTTTTGTAATCAAACCCAGAAATGGCTCCAAACTGGGCTCCAGCCTCCTTGCTCCCAACTCTTACTCTGCACATTACCCGTAAGTGCACAAAGTAGCCCAAGACAGGAGAATTTTCCATATTCCTAAAACATGTCGACCAACTCAAAATGGACGCCTCTTTTTTTTTTTTTTTTTTTTTTTTTAAAGCTTTAACTACTGCTTATCTTTTTACTACTAGTACTAAAATCATCCTTTCCCCCAGCAAGACATGCAAGAATCAAATCTCATTTTGAAAACATGCATTTTCTTACTTTACGCTTAGGAAAATGGATGCTATATTCACTGCTGTTGGTATTTTTCAGCTAACGCAGACACTTTTTGGCTGTTTAGAAAGTGCATCGTACAAACAAGAAGAAAAACCAAACAGAACTGAATCGATCTGTTCCTTACTTGTTTCTCATTAAGAGCTGCTATCCTTGATTGCCTTTCATGGATTTGTTTCTTAAGATCCCCGTTCTGCAAAAACGGCAATAAGACGCATATTAAAGGCAAAGTGGAAACTAAGCCCTGTAATGAATAAACTTGCGATCTAGAAATTGTTCAAAAGCAAAACCGTTCCATCACAGCCGTACAAAAGCATGCACACACACAACACACAACCTTAGTAAGAAAGCTCAGCACAGACTACAAAATGAGATCTCTTACTGATAAAGTTTCTCATCCTGCTGTCCCAGCATAACTGCGCTGATTACGGCAGGGATAAAATACTGAAGAAGAGAAAAAAAAGGATCTGCATTTACCTGTGGATCTTGCTTCATCTGTGCAATTAGTTTCTATTAAAAAAAAAAAAAAAAAATCACCCCCGAAAAAGGAGGAATTAGAAACTGTTTCAAGTTTAATGGATTTTTTTAAATGTATGTATTTGTGTGGACGGGGGAGGGAGGGGGGTAAGGAACAAAGAGGCAAGTAAACACTGCGAGTCAGTTTCAAGCAAAGCTCATAAATATTCAAGTCTCGTCCTAATCTCTCCAGCACACACACGCACACGCACACCCGCTCACACCCGCACACACTCACACGAGCCCCAGCCGCAATGCTAACTCCGGCTCCACGGCACGCAGGGAGAGGACAAAACAACAACGGCGCAACCCCCGAAGCACCCCGCAACTCGGGCCAACAAACCGCCAAACTACTTTGCCCGACTGCTCGTCATTGCCGCGGGGCCGGGGGTCCCCCAACCGCAACCCCGGTCCCGCAGCCCCCCGCCGCTGCCTGCAGCATGCAACACGGGCGGCCCGACCCGGCCGCCGGGCGAGGAGCGGCTCACGGGCAGCTCGTGGCGTTTTTTACCTGATGACATTGGATTTCCACTTTTAACGCCTCTTGCAAGCTGTGCAGCTCCATCCCCGCAACTTGCCGGGCACTTTCCTGCCACTTTCAGCTCCGAATGAAGTTGTTTTGTTTGTTTGTTGGGTTTGCTTGTGTTGTTTTGTTTTGTTTGGCTCGCTTTTTTTTTTTTTTTTTTTTTTG